GCCAACCATGCAAGAGAACAAAGTCAGTTGCTTTGGAGCCATCAGCAATACTCCTCCTCCCACCCCTAGTGGAGTCTGGACTATTAAGAGGGGTGTTGAGGAGGGGGGAAACATGATGTCGGATGACGGGTAAAGGGTTAAGTGACCCCATATGGACACTAGAGGGGAGGAAGTGGGCCTGCCTTTGCAAATGCTGCAGGGTCATAGGCTTTGGCCACCCCCATTTCTCCTAGCAGAACACGGGTAGAGAGGAGCCAGGGTCTGTTAGTTGTAGGGTTTGGTTTTGGTATCAGAAGGGTTGGATGAGCATCTGAACTGATCCTGCACTGACCCTATGTTCATTTCATGGAGGAGGGGGAGACGTTAATACGTATTTTTGCTTTTCTCAGCATGGCCATACACATTTTTGTAATGCTGAGGCTGGTTTTGTGCATGCTCTCATGTGGTTTTGTAACAATACATGGGATCAGGACTTCTAGTGTGAAAGTTTTTATCTGAAATACCCTTTGTATTGAATTGCATGCCATTCAACTTAACTTGGAAGGACAAGGTTCTCTGTTGACCCTGCCAGGATTTTATTTCTAGAGACACCAAATATTTGAACCCTGATGCTAGACTACTAAGCCACCCTGTCTACTAAGGAATAAGTGGGATATTGGCTCTTCCTGGTTCATCTATGTTTCTTTTACTTGTTCTTTTGTATTTTTGTCACAATTTTCTTGGATTCTTAACCAGCAGGAGCAGTCAAGGCAGTAGGTCTGTAGAATAGTTAACCACTACTGCTTCAGATAAGCAAAAGGAAACAACATGAGAGACTCTTCCGACTCTCTACCCACCTGAACCTGCTACCCCTACAGCCTTCTTAGCTGGGAGAGATCAGAGATGGATCTCTTTGGCTGGCCAATAGCTTTTTATGCTGTAATATATGGCATGAAGTGCCTCTATGTGACATTAAAGAGCTCTATTTTGTCATAGCTATACATTTAAAATAAACAAACATTTATTAAGCTTTCCTACAATTGGGACACAGACATTAATATTAAAGTCGTTAAGGATGGTAAACATTGATATGTCTTAAAAATAAGGAAGCGGTGGAACTCTTGAGGAAATGTCTTATATGTTACATGTTTACTGAAATTGAATGAAAGGTGATTTGGCAGGGGAAAACACCTTAAGAATTTTTACTTGCTTGAGTGTTGGTAATACCAGTCTGGGACATGAACAGCTTACCTGTTTTTAGCAAGCAGAGAAAACTGACCCTTCACAATTTTTTCCAAGACAGTCCCAGTTCAGTTAATTGTTATAGTCAACTTTATCTTTCTTTTTCAGAAATCTGCTCTCCCCTTAAAGCAAGGTGACTGGTAGTGCTATGGGAGTTGAGGGTGCTCAGCACCTTTCAGGATTAGGCCATTTATTTGAGATCAGCTAAAGCACAGTATTGTAGCATTGTGTATTAAACCAGATTTTGGTTGAGGTGTTCAAAGTGGCAGAGACATTAAGGCTAAAACCTCAGAGGAAGAGACCAAATTGGTATTTGGTTTTCCATAAAATCCAGGCAGAGTACACACAAGAACAGTACAACAGCTTCAGCAGCATGAGCTTCGGGTAGGAATTCCTCAGATCTGAGAAATGTATGCCAAGAAACAATTTTATCATTTTCAGGGGCTCTTCTTCCAGTAGGTGGAGATAGATGTAAATTAAATATTGGTGCAGAATGGTCTAGACATCAAATGTGTAGTTAAAAGTTCTTGCTAGGGCATATAAACAAAGTATTTCCTTGATGCAGTTTTAGAAACTCACATGGTGTTGGCTGCTTAGACACTATTTGAAAATCATGATTAGTGAACCTTTTGCTGTTGATCACTAAAAGATATAGCAACTGCGACACATTAGTTGTACAATAAGAAGAAATACTGTTTAGTCATCTGGTTACACATTGAACAGGAAAGTGCAGGTGCCTAAAGGAGGGGAATTGTTGGTGTTTAGTCTGAAATGGTTGGTGGGCTCAGCATGATGAAAGCACAGCTTATCCAGATCTGCCTAAGATTAAGCACTACTTTATACTCGATGTACCAAGGGCACCAGACAGGAAGCACTACATAAAATTTGTCATTGTTTCTTATTGCGTATACAATGGGGAAGAAATCCCTTCACTAAGAATGGCCATCATTCACTGGCAGATTTCACTACCCCGAGGAATAATAAGTTTACAGTTCATTCATGCAATAGCTCTCCCATCATTATTTAAGAAATGCTTCATGAAGGACTTTCTTTTGTGATGCAACTGACATTTATAGACATTTTATTGTCATATATTCAATGGTTTAAAAACCTGGGAACTGTAGTTTATTTTCACTGAGGGAGAGTTTTCACAGCTGGTTGAATTTCTTTCAACAATAATTAAGAAAATCTAATGTAAACTAAAGCATGTAAAATATTAACTGAATTGAATGTGAGAGGGACTAGTCCTTACATCTGTTCTTGCACTGAAGATTTACTGAGGAATAAACAAAGACTGGCTGTGATTTATAACTTAGTGGAAATTTCAGGGTTGGAAGAAATATAGGAATGAATTAATGCTGGAGGTAGGTGGAAAACTAAACTTTCTCTGGATTCACTTTTACAGTGATAGCACTGTTTACAACTTGTCTTTCCCAAAAGGCACACAGTAAGTCCTCGCTTGATGTTGTAGTTATGTTTCTGAAAAATGCAACTTTAAGCAAAATGATGTCAGAATCCAATTTCCCCATGAGAATTAATGTAAATGGGGGGGAAGAGGGTTTAGGTTCTGGGGAAATTTTTTCACCAGACAAAAGACTACAGGCACACACACACACACTGTAAGTTTTAAACAAGCTATTTAATACTGGTACACAGCGATGATGATTGTGAAGCTTGGTCGAGGTGGTGAAGTCAGAGGGTGGGGTATTTCCCAGGGAATGCCTTGCTGCTAAATGATGAACTAGCAATCAGCTGAGCCCTCAAGGGTTAACACACTGTTGTTAATGTAGCCTCACACTCTACAAGGCAGCATGGAGGGAGGGGAGACGGCATGGCAGATGGAGACACACACCGTGTGTGTGAGAGAGAGAGATGTGCATTGCCCCTTTAAGTACGCTGACATCACACTAAGTACACTGCCTTTTTAAGTAGATCAGCAAGTTGAGACAGCAGCTGCTGCCAGCAAACTCCCTCCATCCTGAGCCCTGTCATTGCCCCTCCCCCCCCGCTCTATGGAAATAGAGTAAGCAGGGAGAGGGGGACACCCTGAAATTAGTGCGCCCTTCCCTGCACAGCAAGCAGGAGGCTCTGGGGAGCAGTACATGGCAGTGGGGGTAGGGACAGCTGAACTGCTGACAGTTGCTAGCCTGCTAGACGGCTGCCGGCGCAGGGAATGGGGAGCTGATAGGGGGGCTGCCAGTCCATGCTGGTTCCAAGCCCCCACCAGCTAGCTCCAATGGGCTGCTCTTTCGTCAAGCAGTGGACAAAGCAGGCGGCTGCCAAAGGACATTATAAGGGAGCATTGCACAACTTTACACGAGCATGTTCCCTAATGGAGCAGCAACGTGACAAGATTAACCGGGATGATTTTAAATGAGGAGTTAGTTACTGTACAGAAAAAATCAGGTAATATTTAAAATCTTATTCTTGATATTTGCAGTTTAATAAATTTGCTACACAAAATTGAACAAAAACATCCTGCATGTTCATAGTGCCATGCCAAGCAAAATTAAAAAAATAATTTGAAAGAAAATACCCTTTCTTAGTAGGACTGTTGATTAATTGCAGTTAATTCATGTGATTAACTCGAAAAAATTAATCGCGATTAACGGCAGTTTTAATCGCACTGTTAAACAGACTACCAATTGAAATTTATTCAGTATTTTGGATGTTTTTGTACATTTTCAAATATACTGATTTCAGTTACAACACAGAATACAAAGTGTATACTGCTCATGTTGTTACAAATATTTGCACTGTGAAAATGATACAGTATTTTTCAGTTCACCTCATACAAGTACTGTCGTGCAATCTCTTTATCGTGAAAATACAACTTACAAATGTAGATTTTTTTTGTTATATAACTGCACTCAAAAACAAAAAAGTGCCAAACTTTAGAGCCAACAAGTCCACTCAGTCCTACTTCTTGTTCAGCCAATCCCTAAGACAAACAAGTTTGTTTACATTTGCAGGGATAATGTTGCCCACTTCCTATTTACAATATCACCAGAAAGTGAGAACAGGCATTTGCATGGGACTTTTGTAGCCGGCATTGCAAAGTGTATTTAAGTGCCAGATATGCTAAACATATGGTCGGGGAGCAACCCCATGTTCCAAGTGTCCTTCAGCTGCCAGGAACTGGGACCGGACAAGAGGATGGATCACTTGAAATTGCCCTGGTCTGTTCATTCCCTCTGAAGCTTCTAGCACTAGCCACTGTCAGAGACTAGGCTAGATGGACCACTGGTTGGACTGAGTATGGCCATGCTTATTAAGTTCAAGGATCAAATGGGAGAATTTGGAGAAAAACAACAAAAATGTTTAAGTACTAGAGAAACTGTTTTATGAAGAAAGATTAAATATGCCTTGGCTAAGTGAGGACTCTGAGCAGAATACAAGAACTGTTCACAAGTATTTGAAGGGTATAAGAGTAGACAGAAATACTCTGGGGTTTTACAGTAGGTGTGTAACTAGAGCTAACCTGTTTGCTAGGGCTAAAAAAAACCAAGACCAAAATAAGAGGAGAAAAACTGACAGTGAGATCTATTAGACTGTGAAATAGTCTCTCTCCGGCAAAGTGGTGGAAGGACTAGAAATTTAAACAAAGCACTATGCAGTGTACTGCAGGGAACGGTGGGCCAACAGGGTTTTTCATCTCTCATTTCTATTATTTGTAGGGGAACAGGTGTGACCGAACATTGTACATTACAATAATGGCAAAATGTTATATTGTCTAATATATAGAGGTTGTTAAATTTTATTCTTTTTTTTTTTTTAAGGCCTCTTCCTTATCTTAGGCTTGATGCTGTACCCTGCAGGCTGGGGCTGCCAGAAGGCAATAAGCTATTGTGGACATTATGCTTCTGCTTATAAACTAGGAGACTGCTCACTGGGCTGGGCCTTCTACACAGCTATTGGTGGCACTGGTCTGACATTCATCTGTGCCGTCTTCTCAGCACAAGCAGAAATTGCCACATCTAGTGACAAAGTGCAAGAAGAAATTGAAGAGGGGAAAAACCTTATCTGCCTCCTTTAAATACAATGGAAAAAAGATCGATCAGTGCCTGGGAAACACTGACTTCAGACTGTTTTGCTTTTAAATGACTTGATAAAAGGATCCACTTACCTGTTTTCACAATTTGTGTGATTAAGCCTTGAACTACTGAACATTCTATCACTTGCTGGGCGATGAGGACCAGAGAAAGGAGGATCTCAAGCAAAGACAGTGTAGATATGTGGGAATTCTTGGTATGACTACATTGTCAGGACTCAGCAGAATATACAACTTGAGAGCGAGGCGGGGGAGTGTATATAGTGAACAAACATTGTAATATACCTGACAATTTCTGATTTTATCAGATTGCATTCTCCACCTTGGTCACTTTGAAGGATCTGAATTAAAATAATAAAAGCCAGCACATTTCTACTATGTACAGGACTAGCCTATTTAATCAGGTTTTGTTTTCAAGGGCTTCAATCACTTGTGAAGGTTTTATTGCCATCTGGTTTGGTACTATAGTTAATATGGTGGTGCTTTTTGATGAGTTTTAAAATTACTTAAAGCACAACTGGTTTTTTTGGATAATTAAATGCATGACAAAGAGAACAGGGTTGACATTAAGACCTTGCTAAAAGTCATATAAACTGTAAAGAAAGTGAGATGGGGCTCAAATTATTTAGTTTGTTCTGGCATGAAGTATCCGTAACAAGTGGTAGGTACATTATATTTTAGCAGCTAGATTTGAAGTTAAATTATTTTTGTTTCATAGCAGAGCCAGGGGAATGGTCGTTACCCTGGAGTTTACCTATATAAAATAAAAATGGTAGAAATAATGTTTTAGGATCTAATGAGTGAAACACTGAACTTTGGATACACAAATGGTGCCTTTACTAGAAATCCCAGGAATCCTCAATATTTAGGAAAAACACTATATTCTCTCAGCAGCACAACTGACAGGGTTATTTTGTGAATGCCAACAAGTGTTGACACTCTTCAGTAAAAATATGAACTGTATGTTGGGTTTACAATTACAATAGTTCTCTGTTTGCCAAAAGAAACCTCATTCCCAGTCCACAGACCAGTGTCTTAGAGCCAGTTTAGTCTGTAACAGACGTTCACTCTGCAGGAGACAATGCCAAATTCTAAATGTTTGTGGGAAAACCTTTTCCCACTCTTTTTAACCACATTTGGTATGGACCCATTTCCAGCACAATCAGCAGAAGCAGAAATATGGCTTGCCACGAGTGACATTCCTTTCCAAAATGCGTTCAGTTCAGTCATAATACTTGTGTTGTTTCTCCAGTTACTAGAATTATTCTGAGAGCATATTAGAAGAAAGAATACTGTACTGCCTTGGGGATACATGAGCACAAAATAGATAAACTGTTTTAAAATTTCCAATCAAATATCAAGTGAATAGTTATTTCATGGTGGTGGTAAAATACTATTAGGCACTGAAGGCTGCTGAGCCTATTGTTAAAGGTGTCTGCAAGTTTATCCATTTTTCTGTAATGTTAAAAATCAAATAACTTCTGCAGACAGAATGATTAGCCTCCGGATTACAAGACTTTGTTGTCGAGAACACCAAATTTGTATAGAAACGTGAAGGTTTTGTGTTCTTATTTTTGCGGCATCTTTCCTGACCTAGAGCTGAGGGAAATGCAGCTTGCATTAACCATGCACAGTCTTACCATTGTTATACCATTAAATGTAAAAGGTTTCTTTGGAGCACATATGGTCCCTATGCTTTTTGAACTCTTCATCCGCTCCTGTGGAAGTCTCCTTCCCAGGAACAGTTCTTTAGAAATTATTGATCTGTGTGAGATTCTAGTGAGTGCCCAGGCTTCAACTATAAAGGTTTAAAAAGACAATGTTATCTTTTTAATAAATGGGTAGTTTGTAAACTCCAGCTGCTAATGATGCTGCCTCTAATAAGTTAAATCAATTAATTTACTTTTTGAAGTGGAATAATTTTGTTCTGGTCTGTTCCTGATAAACCAGACATGTTACTTTGGACCGATTAAATTGATAGGTTGTAGTAGTGATCCATAATCAATGTGCTGGAGTGCCAGAGTCCCTGCTTCTCTGTAAATACAAATCCAAGACCCCTATTTAGCAGTGCTGCTGACACCTCTGTTCTCCTGTGCACATTCCCGATGTTGGGGCAGAATGATTTGGAAAGCGTTATGCTAGCCACAGGGCAAAACTTCCCCTTGGTAATATTTAATTTTCTTTTTCACCACTGAATTGTGAGAACCCGGCCTTTCCTCTTGTTAATCCAGAATTCACACTTGAGAAACCTGTGTTTTCCCCCCCTCCCAATCCCACTGCACTCTTAGACAAGATTTTAAAACGGGTAACTCACTTTTCTTTTAAATATTTAACATAATAAAATAAAGTTATAGGCTGGAACCATTTATGCCAAGTGTCTGCATAGAGCAAGATTTCCTTTTAAACAAATTATAACCACTTGCAAAAATTGGTGAGTTAGAGCAAAACTGTAGCCATGGCATCATAATGTCTTATTTGAAACTGTGCGCCTTTGAAATACGTTTCCTTGTACATACAAAGTATACCTTATGAAGCACACCTCCAAATTTTCAACCATATTATTTGTATGTGGATGAATCCTATTAAAAAAAACCCTGTAAGAAGCTTCTACCAAGGTTATTGCTTGTTCACAGCTGCTACTACTTTAGAGCCCCCCCACCCATTGGAATGTGCACAATACAAGCTGGGGCACTAAAACAGCTGTGATACAGAACTTTTAACTAAAGGGAGTCTTAAGTGCTGTGAACAACACATGGAATTGGGGTGAAGATAAATTATATATATATATTTTTTTAATGTTGTAATTTGTTTTTCTTTAGGAAGATAGTATGCTGTTAAAAATAATCAATGCCACCAAATCATGACACTCTTAATAATATAGTGTCACAAATACGTTAAAAATCCAAGTACTATATTAATCAATGACAGATTACGGTTTTCAAAGGTGTCATGCAATGCTTAACTGAACTGGTTTGGACCATGCATGCCCCATGTATTGTGTGAATTAAAAAAAAGCAGTGAACAATGTATTATTAGGCCATAACTATGTTAAGTCTTTACAGTACTGAAAATATTAATGTTGGGTTTTATAGTACTGTGCATAAAATATTTATTTTGCATGTGTTTTTCTGAATTTGTAAGGGAAGTGGACCAGCTTCTATTATTGTACTAGTATAACCTCAAACTGATCTAATCAACTCAACAGGTCATACTCATTGACTGGCATAGATGGAAGACATGGTAGGATAGTAAGTGATAAGATGGCTTTATTATTACATACAGATTTTCTTAATGAGTGGGTCACATTTTAGAACTCATTAAGTTTGATGGCTGCTGTTCCTGAATTTTAGTTCCACCAGAACAGTGGCCTTCCCAAGACATTCTATGAAAATCATTTTTCTTTTGTCAGCTTCAGGCATGTTTAATTAGTTTCATGATGGGCCATATAGCATAACTGCTTCTTAATGTACATGTAGTGCTTAGGTGCAAGGAATGTTTGATGTGGCATCTTTAAAAAAAAAAAAAAAAGCTGTCTAACTCCCTCAAAATTGTAACATACTAACTTTGTAAATTTTTTTAAAGATAGAAATATTCTTTAAACATCTGTGGTTTGATCACCTTTGTAAACATATATTCTGTAAAGTGCCATAGTTATTTTTGGAGTATAGCATATTTAAATATATATACACAAATTTGTGTGAGATGTGCAATAATATAAGTGGGTTTTTTTTTAAAAATGTGATATGCTTTAAAAAGGGACTGCCAAGTGAAGAGTGGTTGGAATTTTGTTTTTGGACAAACTTATTGCTACTTGAGAGTAATGCTAGAGGAAATAGGATACCATTGATTGTAGTTTAAAGGTTTATCTAAAATTTCTTTTCTAGATTCATTTGAAATACTCACATCTGGGTAATCCAGGCCTGATTTATTTATAGCCTTAAATTCCAACTGTGAAGCTGCACACCTGCACTGTAATTAACACCTAGGAGTTGAAAAGCTCAGCACTGCTTGATAATGTCTCTCCGTGTGCTCTAGACTACTAGGCACTGCATCAACATTGCTAATAGCTACAGTCTGGTTCTCTAGTACCATCTTTTTGCCTAACGAACACTTACTTAGGCACCTCTTGGTCTGGGGAATTTCAAATAGATCATTTAAATTTTGTGTTAGTATTCAATGCCAGAATTTCCCAGTTTTAAATGCAGAAGTCAAATTTTCTTTAAAGCCAATGGTGGGGGAAGCCTGCTACAGCAGGAGTCATCACTGGCTCTGTGGTGAAGGCAGTGCCCCACCAAACAACTGGGCAGTATCTGTATATGCTGCAAAAACTGAATAGGAATGTAGGCTGTGGTTAATCACCTATCCATTGTTTGTTTGTGGTACTGCTGTTGAGTGACCAGTGCTTTGTGTAATGTTTTTCAGCACTGTATCATAGAATATCTGGGTTGGAAGGGACCTCAGGAGGTCATCTAGTCCAACCCCCTGCTCAAAGCAGGACCAATCCCCAATTTTTGCCCCAGGTCCCTAAATGGCCCCCTCAAGGATTGAACTCACAATCCTGGGTTTAGCAGATCAATGCTCAAACCACTGAGCTATCTCACTGACTAGGTACCCAGTAATATCTGTTTTTATTATCTAAAGCTGACTTATAGTGGAGTTTGTAAACTAAATTCTTAGATCACCACAGCTCTAGCCTATCTTAGTTTGAACATGCTTCACTATTTTAAGGCTGATCAAGGTGCATACATTAAGGGATTTATACTTAGAAAATTTACATTAGAGATTTTGCAGTGATTGTGACACTGTATTTTACCACTTACATATTGATCACTAAGCAGCTGATCTTAAATTGTAGCAATCTTTTATACAAGTTGAATTAAAAGTGATTTTATAATTAAATATAGCTTTAACAACTAATGTATCTGCAAGGTAAAACTACCATGGTTTCTCTCTTGGGGTGGGAAGAGTAAGAAAAGTAGGTTTCAAGACATGTGAAACACTGACCAATTGTGTGTGTAGTGGCTTTTAAATACTATGATACTAAAGCACTTATTTCTTATCTATAGACTTCAAAGCACTTTATAAAAGGAGGGTAAGTAGCATGTGCATTTTAGAAGTAGGGAAATGGTTAGAACTGGCAACAGAACCCAGACTTACTCACTCCACCTGTTAAGAGTTTTCTGACACACTTAGGTGACAGTGTAAAGGTTTTTAATTGCACTACCTTGTGCTATTTTAAAGCAGTGGGGTCCAGTTATTTTACTTGAAATGCCAGAACTGGCTGAAAAGGCAAACATTTCTAATTCTGTTACAGGACAGGACTCAAGCATAGGGTTTAGCTCCTTAGAACCCCATGCTATTTCCAAATGAAGAACCCAGAACTGATAGCAAGGTAGTTCCCAACTCAGCAGAATCCCCTATGAGCTACTACTTCACCACTGTAGAGATGTTAAGGGATATCAGTAATCAGAGCTACAGCTTCTTCCTTTTTATGTTAATTTGAGAAACGAAACAACAACCTGTGTCCCTAAAGTATTTCATCTGCTGACTGTACTAAAACTGTACAAGGGCTTGATGTATGTAAATAAAACTAATACGTTTTTCAAAAGAGGTGGTATATAACTTTAACCTAAGGTTAGAGCCCAAAACTCCCTAAAAAGGTTGGTACTAATATAAGATTTCATTATATATTTGAGTGCACAATTGAGGCTCCACAGGTAAGAAGAGTTAAACACACACTGGTGGCTGTCTCATTCCACCTATTGGACAAGCTGAACTTCATTATATACCTTTAAAGAGGCTCATCTATGTTCTGCCTATTCATCTATCTGCACCTAAGAGCAACTGCAAACCCCTTGCTTTTTAAAAATATTAAAAACCTGCATGAGACTTTACAGGGGGAGAAGGGTTTTGAAGATGATGGTATCTACATGGCAAAGTAAGTTTAAAAAAACCTTTCATACTGCATGTGGAAGCTGTTCCTTGAATACTTGTGCCTTCAGAGTGATGGTCCCAGAGTGAACTTCACCTAACAGAAAAGTGACAAAATCCATGCTATAAATGCATGGCCATTAGCCACCTTTAGCAATACTCAAAGACAGTAATGAGATGGAAATTCAGTTGGCCTGGCTGGGAAGGGTAGCAGAGAAGAGAGAAAGCCATATCAACCCAGCCAATTCCAGAACATGTAATTGAAATGAAAAGATGTAACACCTCTTCCTTCTATTTTGAACAAAGAATCATACATACCCCCATTGTCGAATTCTTCCCTGAGAAACATCAAAAAGCCATGCCATGGAGCTAACAGCCCTTCACCAATACTATAAAAAGTTCCCAATTGCACTGCCAGCACCCAAGGGATGGGCCAAGAACCACAACTGCAGGTAAAGTGTGTCTGACAAGCTGGCCAATGCACAGGTACTTCATATTCACTTCACTAGGCTGGTGTCAATTTTATTTATATACCTTCTTAGCAGCTTCTGCAGCAAGGCTCAAAATTCACACTTTGCAACTACCAGACTCTGAGGATTCCAAGAGCAACCGTGGCAAATTCACAGATGCCTAAAGTGTTCTGAGCCGGCTGATCACCATAACTGATGCATCTCTATCCACCCAGCTCTGGCAGTAAAACCCTCTAATCCAGAGAAGTGCTCCCTGCAGCCTAGGGCCAGACACCAATGTGTTGGCCTTGTGCCCTTAAGCTAAGACAGTACAGAAGCTATAGTCCAACTCTGTTCTAGCAGTGGGCTCAATGGTCAGTCGCTCCAGCACCTTTTTCCTAGCACAATATCCAACTTCAATATCAAAAATTTGCATCTTATTTCCCAATTCAGGATGTGAAAGTTTCCTTAACTAACTGAAACATTATTATGCACAGACAGCCCATAGGCAGAAGCCAGCACAAACATACAGAAACCTCTCTTGCCCTGTCATGTACATGAATTCCTTGCTTTTGCTTCAAGAGGTGGTGTTATAACATACAATAACAAGGTTAAGGTAGTACAATAAACACTTTACCATACCCGGTCATTACCTGAGGACATACTGTATGACTAATGAAAATGTGAAAAAGTTTTAGCTAGTAACTGTCTATGCTTCTGTTAAGAACTGGCCTTAGAAACAGTTTTATTTTGGAACAAAATTGAATGCTTGCAGAGCTATTCTTCCCTAGACTTCAAATATTTCTCAGAAATGTGTCGTGATTTCCATTTTAGTGCCAATACATAGCTAAGCTATTATCCCACTCCTGAAGTAAAAGATATGTACTGTTTCCTTTGTAAATCCATCTCATTTTTCTCCAAAGCAGAAACCCTCACAAAAGCTAATTATGTTTTATTTATTTAATTTTCTTCTTTACTTGTTGGAGGGAAACATTCGACAGATGTATCTCAATTATATCTGTTCTATTCTGCCCGGTGCTTGATTTGTGAGTGGAATGTTTTCTGTTCACCTTACCAAGCCAGCTAGGACTGGTACACTGAAGAGTAAAACACATATTAGGCTCCCATAAGACAGACCACCCAGCCCCAATAAATGTTTTGAGAATTGACTACTATTTTTTTTAAAGCAGACAGTTAAACATTTCCAACAAGAATACATGTCCACATGATTGCCAGCAATAAACAAATAGTATGGAATTATTTTGACCTTATTCTTCTGAACAGCATTTATAATAATGAAAACTGAATGAAGGCTTAACTTTTTTTTAAAAATCACCCTTTAACTGCTACAAAGATGAGCAAAATCCTAGGAAGAATTAGATCTAACAACAGGAAAACAAACCTGATTGATAACTGAAACCATGTTTTATTTCACCACCATAGTGCTCAACCACAGCAATCACTGAGCTGACAGACGTACTAAGAAAATTTTCAAACAAAAAATAAAAATGGAGGCAAATACAGCGCCATTTGCAAATCTAGCCTACACACATAGATAATGTGCAGTTAAAAATCTGGTTGTTTCTGCCTCTCTCCAGAAAAAAATGTTACAGCTAATGCCTCTTTACTGACAGACAGACACAGGCAGAGAGAATGTGTGTTTTTACATGGTTTCCTAGGAAAAGACGACACTGAATATAGCCATAAAATTCTTTCCCAAGGAAGATATAGCTTTAAAGGGAAACTGTCCATCTGTATTTATTTCTGAAACTCTAGGTTTCCTGACAAAACATCCCTTACAATTTTTTAAAAAGTCAAACCATGCATCTGAAGAAGTGGGTTTTTACCCATGAAAGCTTATGCCCAAAAAATTCAGTTAGCCTTTAAAGGTGCCACCAGACTCCTCGTTTTTGTGGATACAAACTAACACAGCTACCCCTCTGATACTTGACACCATGTAAAGTTTTGTAAGTGTTTTTCTGCCTCCCTGCTGATATTTGTTTCTAAGGGTCTTAGAGAGTGCTCACCTTTCTTTCCCCTCCCCAATTCTCTGCCTTTCTGCTGCCATTTTTTTCCTGGTAAGCCTCCATGGGCAGCGCCTGGGGAGCATACAATCTCCTCAGGAGCAATGCATGACAGTTACGTAATCATTCTAATGATGAGCAAGGAAGTGCGGCTATATCATAACTGACTATACACAAAAGTGGGGTTTTTTTGCTTTTTATTTTAGCCATTTTAAATATTACTTGTATAGTATACCCAAAACTTTTTAGAGTTGAATGTGCCCCTTTCAAGAAGTTAATCTGCTGCCAAAACGTCTAAATACAGAGTAACAAAGGAAGAGGAAAACAGGGAAAATTGGTGATAGATGTGCAACTGTCTTGAACAAGTCACTTCTGATTGGAAAACTGCCTAGAAAAAATAATGGCTACATATCAGAACAAGAGAATCACTGTACTGTGCATTTGCAAAACACTATTACAGTACAATGGTCTACATCAACTGTCAAGTTAGCTGTTTACAAACCCTTAATATAAGAGGGTAATAAATCCAGTAACATACTCGACATACTAATTATATGAAACTGCAGTAGACAGCAATGTTATACCGTAACACTAGAACAGAAATAGCAGAACAAAATATTGATACAGAAGCATCAATCAGAAAACAGAAAAATAAACAGTAGCAAAACCAATATTATTTTCAGAAGTTTCATTTTACTTCCAGTAAAATCCTAGGTAAGGTTTAATACTTGTAGTTTCATTACGTACTGACAAAACACCTTTTTTTGAGAGAGAGATTTGGTTTGTTTTTAAACTTTCAATGTATAGCACATGTACAAAGTGCTGCAAGCGCTGCTGACGTTTTCCTTCATACTATTTTAGTAGCCCAAGTCTAGTCAGACTAATTTGTTATTCTGATAGTGGACAGCTTACTTTCCCATTTCAGCAGATTACAGAATTTATATACAGATTGTAAAAACCAAGTGACATTTTTATACAGAGCAGCCTTCCTGCATGTTTACCTGACCTTTAAAAAAAATCCCTATGTTTAAAACTATTCTGAGCAAACAGTATTTTTATTCTATAACCTTGTGTTAATACAATAAATATACAAAACTTGTGAACTACTCAGACATGCAACAGCAGTGGGACAGAATGAGTGTGTTTCTACAGAACCATGACATTCACTAGGATGGCAGAGCATTGTTAGTAATTTACAAAATATACAAACATCCCTCGGATAAATAAATCCAAATCCTAAATTACAGATCACTGACTATTGATATTCCAGTGTTTAAACTTCATACTTTCAACCAAATTTGCCACAATACAACAAAATGACAAATTAAGTGGGGTGCATATTGTGTTAACTGATAGACCAATACCTGTTAAGTAAAAATATTTTAACGAACATCAGCCTTCAGTTCTCAAATCTAAAATGAGAATATTTTTCCTTTGGATCAAATATTCATATATATTAATTTTGTACCATCATGCATTTTTGAGTGCAGAGGTAAACATGGTAAAAATGAAACAACCATATGTATTATATTCTGTAAGAATGTAACTAGGCACATGCCTGTCAGTTTCAAGTTGCTTTTTAATAATATCACATGCTGGTAATCTACTATTCTACAGTAAGACAATAAATTTAACTGTGAGGATGGTGTCCCTCATACCCCATGAGAAAAAGAAAAAAGCTTAATTCAGGCTAAAGATCCACCCTTAAAGGAAGTCCTTGGTACAATTTTTATATTTGGTTAAGACGACTCACTAAAGTAGGACTTGGATCTAGAGAGGCCTGAAACGTGTTAGCAGATCACAACGCAAACTGTAAAATAAAAGTTCAAATGGAACATTAAAGATCAAACAAATTTTTAAAAAAATTAAACCTCCTCTACTGACTTTCAAAAAGTGCTGGGGAAAAGCTTTAGAATGTCCCTGTTACTGTTATTTCAATTGCATTGTTTACTTCATAGTGAAGAGAATTCTATCTGGAGACAATATAATTATGAACAACAACTTCAGTATAGATCATCATATAATATGTTTTTACCATATTTATCTTTACTACTAAAATGGGATTTCGAGAAGTTAAATTACAAATTTAAGTTGTACTTGTAATTTATTTACAGGGACTTACGTATGCAAGTGCTACGCTGCTCAAGGTATTAAGTTGACAACGGGTATTTTTAAAAATGGTCTTATTTTACAATATCCATAAATTGAAGTGAGAAGAATTCCTCTATCAAACCCAAGCCACATTCAGGACATGAGGCCCTCTCTGGGCTTGTCTACACTCAAAATGCTGCAGCTGCACTGCTTCAGGAGAGGTTCTCCTGTCAGCATAGGCACTCCATCTCTCCAAAAGGTAGTAGCTAGGTTGACAGGAGAATTCACCCATTGACCTAGCACTGTCTATACTAGGAAATTAGGTCCGTTTCACTGCATCACTCAAGGATGTGGATTTTTCACACCCGAGCAACAGTTATACCAACCAAATGTCCTAGTATACACTAGGCCTTTATAATTTTAAGGTTCAATCTTGCAAACCCTTATTCATATGAGCAGTCACACTGATTTCAGTGAAAGCATTTAGGTAAGATTTGGGGATCAGGTCCTTAGTGATCTCACTTTCTGAAACTGGCATTTTACGATTTTAAACTTAGTCCAAAGTGCTACATATACTATCATTCAACCAACCAACCTACCTAGGAATTTCAAATGGCCTTAAATAGACAGCAACATGATTTTGAAGCAAGAGCTGATTAGGATTTGGAAAATTACTATGCTAAGTTCCAGCATGAATCACGGTGCATCACAGCATCAGTTTAATCTATTAGAAAGACCTTCATTTCAACAATGTGAATGTATTTAATTGTATTCTCTCTTAATGGAAATAAAAAATATTTCACTTTTCCAACTCAAAATAGTTAAGAATCTTTCATTATTCAGCTTGAATCAAATCACACATGAAGGCTGAGGTGCGTTAAAAAGAATTCAAGTATGTGTGCCACAGTTTAAAAAGTTTGATTAGAGAAAATATTCCTGTAAAAAAATTCAGATTTTTGGACAAGCAGTAAATAGAGTGACTGACCAAGCTATAGATTTAGTACCACTGGTAAACACTAACTGACATTGGAAAAAAAAGAAAAATCCAACAATCCCTCCCACACACACACCCCCCACAAAAATTTCACTGCATTTAAAAGGGGGCAAACAGCTGGTTATGGAACTATTCTAAAGGTTGATAATTTTTCCGATAACAGAATGTGTTTTTCAGACATAAAACTGAAATTAAAAACAACAAATATAATCATTTAGCTCTTTGATCAAAACCATCAGTTAACTTCTCTTAACTGTACATGGCATTACACATTCTGGCAGCGAGAATGTCTATGCAATAGCCATTTCTGATTTAGAAGAAAGTATGCCATGAAAACGGATACAAACCAACACTATAATCATAAGTGGTACAGATAAATCCTGGACCAAAACACTAATTCAGCATGGCCAAATATCTCAACAATATTCATGCAAACTTGTAGATTTATATAAAAAAAACCTACTGCCCTAAAAAAAAATTTACATTATCTACCATACTTGTATCTGTCCATCAGCTGCTTAAACTGCCACAGCAGTAGCCAAATCTAAGTCTCAAACTATCAGTCTACTTCTTACAGTAGAAACAGGGAAACAGGCTCTCAGGAACAAAAATAACTGCTCCAAAGTGCTTTCCTTAAGTTAAAACAAAAAAAGATTCCAGAGTGAAATACTAAAAAAACCCCTGTAAATACATTTAACTGATCACAGAAAGTACCATATCAATTTCAGATCCATTGCTGAAGTTTCCACCAAAATATTGCTCCTCCAGAAAATATGGAGAATTATATATCTAGAGTGTACTTAACTTTTTAAAGAGGGCAAAGAAGGTTGGCTGTGGGTTTTTTTGTTTTGATAAATAAATGTATAAAGGAATAAAACAAGAATTTTTTTCCTGTTTTAGCCCATGCACAGCTGAAGGAGAGACATACATGCTGTGTGTATTTTGAACGCAAGTCTTTAGGAATAGAATTAATAAGATGGAAAATAAAGTATAGTCAAAGAGAACTGTAGTGATTTTTGTATTTCACTAAATTTGGTTACCCTTGAAAGCATTTTGAGCTGCACTAGTTGCTGCTGTAGATGCTGCATTTGCTGCAGCTGTTTGTACAGTTTTGTTGGACATCACACCAGTTGCAAACTCTTGCTGAGCTTTCTCAAAACTAGCACCGGTTGTGCGGTATAAGCCGTGCACCTAAGACAGGAAGGGAGAGGAGAGAAACAAAAGTTAATGGAACGATCATAACACTTTTTATCTATATTTGTAGGTGCCATATCAAAAGTCAAGACAAATTAAATGAATAGAGTGATGGGGAAATTTGATTCTGTTGCCTGCTTGCAGCTGTATGGAGGATAATCAAACAGGTGAACTTTAGTCCCCAGCATCAACAGCAAACATTTGTTGATGTTTTACACCTATGTGCCTTTTAATTGGCATTAAAATAGTAAAATCCTAAACAATTAAAAAATGGAAATATATCAATACAGAAAACCACCTAGTGCAACATTCGACATTAAGTGACAATCAAAATTAAACACTTTAAAAGAAAAGAAGAAGAAATGCTCTTTATGGAAAGTATACTTTAGTCTGCTGTGGTAGCAGGTTTGGCAGCATGAGGCAAATTGCTTAGTTGGGTTAAGATGACTTCATACTGACTGTTTGAAGGAAAGGAGCTTTTGACATGGAAGAGGAGTGCTTCCCAAGAGATGCAGTGAGAGCAATGGGGAAAAATTTATCCCCTGAGCTTCCCCAGGTAATACTGGCAAAACGTTTTTTTCTACTGCTCAGAAACCAGCTATCTATATAAAAAAAATAGGACCTGGCTCTAGCCCATGTTTCTAGCCTGGAGTTGCTTAAGGAATCAGTCTCATCCATGCTCTGACCTTGTCAACACCTTCCCTCTTCCTTCCAATCCACATTTGCAGCCGCTCACCCTAAATCAGTTAAAAGAAAAGGAGTACTTGTGGCACCTTAGAGACTAACCAATTTATTTGAGCATGAGCTTTCGTGAGCTACAGCTCACTTCATCAGATCTGATGAAGTGAGCTGTAGCTCACGAAAGCTCAAGCTCAAATAAATTGGTTAGTCTCTAAGGTGCCACAAGTACTCCTTTTCTTTTTGCGAATACAGACTAACACGGCTGTTCCTCTGAAACTAAATCAGTTAAGTATTCCTCCAGTTACTATAAAACACCATCCCTCCTCCTGTTGATTCCCTATTAGATATGAAGACAGAGGGAACATCATCTTTCCTTCAGTGAAGCTTATGAAGGTTTAAGTTCCATCTAATTTGGCTTCTCTCATAAATGTTATTCCATATCAATAAAGATGTAAATAGCTCATGCAAGATGTAAATGTTATTCCATATCAATAAAGATGTAAATAGCTCATGTCCAGATAATCATGTATTCCTGAGGAACCCAACTGTGTGTGGGAGAGAACTGAGTGTGACAGATCAGTGCCATGAGGAACAGCAGGATAGGAGAAAGGGAAACTCATTTTAAAAAGTTATAGCACAGAAATGGGTTATGCTCTTGGAAGGGAAGAAGATAACCACTCGATCTCTCTCTCTGCCATGCCACCTCTGAACTTCTTCCCAAATACCAGCAGGACAGAATCCTTTAAGGATGGCTGAAATCCCCAAAAGATGACCATCCCTTAAAGATAAGGTAGGAAAACTAGAATGATAACAGAGAGGTCGCCCCTGTATGCATCTGAACACCACATATCTTATTTGGGTATTTTGTGTGTCTAAGTTTATGCCTTCTGTATAGAAGGCAAACAAGAAGGAACTGGGTTCTACGAACTATATCCTGATCTAGGAAATATTTCTACAGTGCATCTTTCTTAGGAATTTTTATAGCACTTATCACTAGAGTATCTGAGAATGCAATTTTTCAAATGTGGGTGCCTAAAGCTAGGATGCTAAATAAAGGTGGCCTGATTTTCAAGGGTGCAGAGCACCTGCAGCTCCTACTGACTTCCAAAGGGATATGGCTTCAAGAACAGATGAAAATTACTCAGCATGTCTGAAAATCAGGCCACTTATTTAATAGTCTGATTAGTCACCCCATGTTGCAAAATTACAACCAGAGTGCCTGGCACCTCAGTGCAGTGTGTCCTGTCCTTCCACTGGGGCAGGTTTTGTCACAGTCTCTTCTCTCTCCACCACTTCCTGTCTTTACTATCCCCACACTCAAATCCCCCCCTGATAATTTCAGTTTGCACAGACTAAATAGTGTCTTTGTTTTACACAATACACACACACACACAGGCAATATCTTTTGTCTCTGTGGAAACACAAGCAAAAAGATATTACAGAAATGCAGTCAGTACAGGTAAAGCAAAGCACGAAGAGATCTATAGGAATATCACCTAAATCAATCAACTGTGAAGATGCAGGAGAGGACTTCCCTAAAGCAGAAAATTAAAATCTAGATCAGGGAACAGTGGAGTAAGTGGAAGTGTGAAATAGTAAAAACAAAGCAACTTACCTTTTTAAACATAACTAGTGAGATGACAGCAGATGCTGTGAAAAGTGCTGTTATGATTATCATCATAATGCCAACAGGAATACTCTCGTTAAGCCCAGTCAGAGATGAAATCCATCCACTAAAGAAAACAATGACAAACTTTATTACAGTGGTGCACTATATATATATTTCCTTTTAAAGAAACCTTTGTAACCTTCTGGTTCTGTTCTGACTTGAGAAAAGTAATGAAAATTATAAAATGTAAACGTGGTCAGCTTTATAAAGTAATTTAGAAGTTCAGTTCCTAAATTATGTAGTCTTAAAGCTAGGGCATGTCTACACTACAAACTTTTGCCAATGTAAGTTACATCTGCATAAAGCTGCCGCAGTTAGTATATCGTTTGTGCACATGCATACTCACCAGGAGTGCTTGTGTCGATACACAGTGCGGAGCAGCAGGGGTAGGTCTTCCAGTGTGCAACTCACCACTGTCCAGCACAATGTCTTTTGGGAACTTTTGGCAATGGATGTGGGGGGGCAAACAGAAGAGTGTCATGCAGGACTGACTGGAACTCTGGGGCCAAGTCCCCATCATGCACTTTTCTCCACTCCATAATGCCATGTCTATCCCATAATTTTCATGCCTACTTTGAAAAATCCCACAAACCCATGTGGAACTTGTCACTGTCAGCCATTACCGACAGTAGCATGGAGCCTACACTGCTCTACACTACTGTCACAAGCACTACAAGAACAGGCTGCATGATCCTCTGGCATTTACAGAGCCACAAGAAGAGCTATGGGGAACATGACGATTTCCCGGAAGACAGACTGCTATGGGACATAGAGCAAACCAATTCAAAGATTGTTCATGGCATTCATGGAACAGCTGCAAACGGTGGAGTGCCACTTCTGGGCCCGAGAAATGGGCACTGACTGGTGGGACTGCATCATAACACAGGCTTGGGATGATGAGCAGCCGCTGCAGAATGTCTGGATGCGCAAAGCCACACTCCTGGATCTGTGTACTGAGCTCACGCAAGCAGTCCAGTGTGGGGACACCAGAACGAGAGCTGCATTGATAGTGGAGAAGCAGGTGGTGATCACGCTGTGGAAACTTGCAATGCTGGATGACTGGAAAAAGTCTAATGTAGTGCCCATCTTTAAAAAAGGGAAGGAGGAGGATCCTGGGAAATACAGGCCAGTCAGCCTCACCTCAGTCCCTGGAAAAATCATGGAGCAGGCCCTCAAAGGAATCAATTCTGAGGCACTTAGAGGAGAGGAAAGTGATCAGGAACAGTCAGCATAGATTCACCAAGGGCAAGTCATGCCTGACTAATCTAATTGCCTTCTATGACGAGATAACTGGCTCTGTGGATGAGGGGAAAGCAGTGGACGTTTTGTTCCTTGACTTTAGCAAAGCTTTTGACATGATCTCCCACAGTATTCTTGCCAGCAAGTTAAAGAAGTATGGGGTGGATGAATGGACTATAAGGTGGATAGAAAGTTGGCTAGATTGTCAGGCTCAACGGGTAGTGATCAATGGCTCCATGTCTAGTTGGCAGCCGGTATCAAGTGGAATGCCCAAAGGGTTGGTCCTCGGGCCGGTTTTGTTCAATATCTTCATAAATGATCTGGAGGATGGTGTGGATTGCACCCTCAGCAAGTTTGCAGATGACACTAAACTGGGAGGAGAGGTAGATACTGGAGGGTAGGGATAGGATACAGAGGGACCTAGACAAATTCGAGGATTGGGCCAAAAGAAATCTGATGAGGTTCAACAAGGACAAGCGCAGAGTCCTGCACTTAGGATGGAAGAATCCAATGCACCGCTACAGACTAGGGACCAAATGGCTAGGCAGCAGTTCTGCAGAAAAGGACCTATGGGTGACAGTGGACGAGAAGCTGGATATGAGTCAACAGTGTGCCCTTGTTGCCAAGAAGGCCAATGGCATTTTGGGATGTATAAGTAGGGGCACTGCCAGCAGATCGAGGGACGTGATCGTTCCCCCCTATTCGACATTGGTGAGGCCTCATCTGGAGTACTGTGTCCAGTTTTGGGTCCCACACCACAAGAAGGATATGGAAAAATTGGAAAACGTCCAGTGGAGGGCAACAAAAATGATTAGGGGACCGGAACACATGACTTATGAGGAGAGGCTGAGGGAACTGGGATTGTTTAGTCTGCAGAAGAGAAGAATGAGGGGGATTTGATAGCTGCTTTCAACTACCTGAAAGAGGATGGATCTAGACCGTTCTCAGTGGTAGCAGATGACAGAACAAGGAGTAAAGGTCTCAAGTTGCAGTGGGGGAGGTTTAGGTTGGATATTAGGAAAATCTTTTTCACTAGGAGGGTGGTGAAATACTGGAATGCGTTACCTAGGGAGGTGGTAGAATCTCCTTCCTTAGAAGTTTTTAAGGTCAAGCTTGAAAAAACCCTGGCTGGGATGATTTAGTTGGGGATTGGTCCTGCTTTGAGCAGGGGGTTGGACTAGATGACCTCCTGAGGTCCCTACCAACCCTGATATTCTATGATTCTATGATTGCTACCTGTCCGTGGTAAATCATTTTGGAGTTGGAAAATCCACTGTGGGGGCCATAGTCATGCAAGTGTGCAGGGCCATTAATCATCTCCTGCTGCACAGGACTGTAACTATCACCAACATGCAGGACATAAGAGATGGATTTGTAGCAATGAGATTTCCAAACTGCGGTGGCATGATAGCAACGCACATATCCCTATTTTGACACCAGACCCCCTTGCCACAAAGTACATCAACAGAAAGGGCTATTTTTCTGTGGTTACACAAGCGCTGGTGGATAACCTTGGACACTTCACTGACATCAGTGTTGGCTGGTCAGAGAAGGTGCATGATGTTTGCATCTTTAAGAACACAGGACTGTTCAGAGAGCTACAAGCAAGGACTTTCTTTCCCAACTGGCGGACTACCACTGGCGATATAGAAATGCCAACAGTGATCCCAAGGACCCCACCTACCCTTTACTCTTCTGGCTCATGAAGTAATACACCAGCCATCTGGACAGCACCAAAGAAAGATTCGAGTACCATCTCAGCAGGTACAAAATTACAGTTGAATGTGCTTTTGGTAGATTGAAGGGGAAATGGTGTTGTTTACTCCCAAGACGATCTCAGTGAGAAAAATATCCCAATGGGTACAGCTGCCTGGAGTTCACAATTGTTACCAGAGCAGTCAGTGTTGAGCATTGTGGGAGAGCTGCTAGAGGACTGGTGGAGTCGACACAAGTAATGTGTTGTCTACATCTCTGCTGCATCAACCTCAGTACATTGATCATGACTCAACACTGCACGTGGAGGTAGTGTTACTATATCAGCATAATGGAGAACTTACATCGGTGGGAGAAAAATTTAAGTGTAGAAACATGCACAACTAGGTCAGTGCAAGGCAGCTTATGTTGACATAATTTTGTAGTGTAGATGAGGTCTTAAGACTAAAAAAAACTTTTCAGATTTTTAGACAGGATGTTACTTTTTTTTAAACTCTTAATGAAGAATGGTGAAATATAAATTCACATAAAGAACTGTTTATCTATTCTCTGATCAATAAAATGTTTAAAAAAACACACCAGATTATTTTACTGAATAGCATTAAACTAGTTTGCAGCAGTATAACTAAAGAAACAAAGGATTGATGAAAATGCTGGTAATGTCAACAAGCCCCTGTCTGACAGTTTCCTGCCTTTCTTCTTAACTACTGAGCCCTTAGGGTGGTCATCCTCATTGAGGGCAGCATGGCTTTAATTCCATTGCATTCACTGAAAGAGAGTATCTTTTCCAAGAGCAGCCTCCCTTCCACTTGCTAAGGTTTTGAGGAAATGGCAGCCACCGTAACTCATGGCAGTCTGTGGCTTCACTCCTACTGAAAAACATGGAACACAGGGGAGAGCTTTTCAAGGGGCTGTCTCATTCACATGCAACCACTACATTAGAGATAGCATCACTGAAGTGAAAAAGAATTTCTCACCAAAATAAACTGGATAATCTTATGGTAAAACAAAGTAATTTGAAACTAAAGTTAACGTCGGTCTCTGCAATCTCAATTGTAGACTTTTTTTTATGAACAGCGAAAACCAGGTAATGGACAATATAATGCAAAACTCAAAATCACAAAAGTCAGGAAATAAAGAGTGCACCTACATACCTACATGTCACCTTATCATAAATATACACCCCACAGACACTCACAAGCACATGCTGTCCATTCCCCTAACAAGCAAATCAACCGTAATCAACCACAGTCACTAAGGTCATATCCATACAACATTAAATTCTGCCTTCTGTATACTATAGTATTATCAACCTCAAGAGACCAAAAATAATGATTCAGACTTAAACAAAAACCCCACCACAATATAGTTTGGGCCAAAAAAATCATATGAATTTAAAAAAAAAACAGTTTTGTTTTGTTTTTTTTGGAAAGGGGGGCGTCTGCCTTGATTTTTTAACTCCCCCTTCCTATATCCTCTGTGTGTGTGACAATTAGTGTTGTCCAGTTCCCCAAATTTATTGGGCAAGCTAACTTTGTTCCTACTGAAGAAACCTCTTCAGTGGAGCACCCTAGCCCCATCCTCATCAGTTCTGCATCCCCAGCCTCCTCTCTGCGCCTCTTGGTTCTCTTCACTCTTCTCAACCTTTTCCAGGCTTAGGAGGTGGGGCAGCTCTAGAAGCTCTTTGCCCCTTCCTAGGTAAGGTGCTTCACGGAGACAGAGGGGAGGAGCAGAGAAACCATTCCACAGGCTGCTCACAGGAAGGAAAGAAGGAGTGGTGCCACTCTGAGATGCTGGGCTCTTTAGCACCCCCCCCCCCCGCCCAGTGAAAATGGCTTGGGGGGAGGGAGGGGGAGAGAACTCAGTAGCAGTTGATTGATTATTCTGCCCCAGGAGGTGGGAAAGTGGGGCAGACAGCCAATCAGAGGACTTAAATTCACTAGCGGGTTGGAGCTTCTTACTTCATTGCAAGATTGGCTCCAGCCCCAGCCAGAATTATCTCGAAAAAAAATCTCAGCACTGTGAAAAAACTTGCAGGTCTCCTGGTTAAGAATATATATAATGAGATGATCAAATCCATACTGTTAGTGACACACTGCTAAAAGAACTTCA